CTGTGACTATCTTTAAGAAGAAACTATATGTTTTCATGGACAGGCAAAAAGGTGGGGGGTAATGTTGACGTTAGGTACTAGACAGTAAGCAACTAGGATAAATAAATACAAATAACAAAATAACAAAAATAACAAAAATACAAATAACAAATAACAAAAACACAAAAATATTTAGCTTAAAGAGGGTTAGGCCTACCCTAAAATTAAGGAACGCTCGACCTCGACACGTGATATCGAAATGGGTGAAATCGCCTCTTGATATCACTAACTATCTTGAGTCTTGAAAATCTTGAATCTTGAATCTTCACTCTATGAATGAAAATAGTTTTTGCTATCAGGCTTCTTTGGCATGATAAACCGAATCAGCTCCTCTGGTTCATTTTCTTCTTGCAATTTCTCTGGTGATTGTTAGCAAATCATGCTCGGCAAAAAGCATTAGGCTACCTCTGCCTCATCATCCACTTTTGCCATATAAACTTTATAATGGCTTGGCGAATTTAATGCGACGGAGCAAAAATATTTAGCAGTTTCTTGAATTAGCCGAGTACTCTGCGAGGAGAAAGAAACGTAAGGAGAGCACGAAGGGGGAGAATCCTGCAAGGCAACCTGGTTACAGAAGAGAGAATAAGATAATGGACTCCGAAGAGGATAGGATAATGGATTCCAAGGAGAGGAGAGGATAATGGGTCCTGAGGCTCCACTTCGATCCAATCATATCTGCAAAGGACATAGATTCTATTTAAAGTTACGTCTCCTCGAAATGCCATTACGAAGAACAGCGAAGCAAATCGAATACTTACTTCGCAATATCGTGGCAGATTGAGCATACAAAAACCAATTATTCGATAGCAGCATTAGTATAAAGTTGATGGAAACGGGACGATAATGAGTTTACGCCTTCGATATGAGGTCTTTCGCCCACATTGGAAACCTCGACGAGATAGGGTCGCGTAGTTCATTTTCCTAGGGATGCCTCAAAGAACACGATCAACCCGATAAAGTCACAGACGTCTACATCACGAAATTACGTTGTCTGCAATGCTGAGGAGAATTTTTCGCGAATAATGGCATGCAGTAGCGCATAAAACTTCCGCTAGCCTCTTCGAGGAGACGCTTACTAAAGAAGGAGTGAGAGAGAGAAGCACGAGAGCTGATATTGTGGATCGTTGACATTTGATGGATTCCTGTCCTTTTCACCTTCCAAATGTAACGAAGTTTATGTAACAGCAGATTTTGAATCAGTCACTTAACGATAGACCCACATTTGTTTCATCCCTTTCCATAAAATTATAGCAAAACTTCTGCCCCGCCCAGCTCGAAAAGAGCGGCCGGGAAGCACGAGCAGACGTAGAAGCTTTGTCTCGAGATCGGTGCGCTCAACGCGAACCAACTGCTACCCCGCCGATACGTTTCAATATAATTCGATTATTGCGTTCATGAGATTAAATGGCTGGAGATATATGAAAAATAAGTATAGGACGTTTCAAGGATACATAGAAGGATACATAGTTTTTTTTTTCGCTGCTGCGAAAAAAAAACTTGGCTGTGGTATCTGCTATCTATTTAACCCTGTAGAATCTCAAAGAGCGGCGTTTTTTTTTGTCTTATCCGGTATGTGCCAGCATCATATTTCGTTATTATTATTTTTCCTGTAAATGCGTCTGCTTTATTTTAGGTTTAGAAAGAGTGTATTTTCCTCTATACCCGTTAGTATCAACTGCCGACCGGGCTGCGGTTCCTCTTTACATAGAGCAACAATGGGGGATTTGGGTCCTAACAACGGAGAATATCTGGAGTAGATGAAAATGAGATG